TATTGTGCGGGTGGAGCGCTGCTGACTTCAACTGAGAGAATTGCCATTTAGTGGAAGGTATACTTCGAAGACCTCCTTAATCCCACTAGCAGTCTTCCGTGGAGGAAGCAGAATCTGGGGACAAGGGGAATGACCCGCCAATCTCCAGAGGTCAGGTCACTGAGGCAGTTAAACAACTCCTTAGTGGCAGAGCCCCTGGATTGGATGAGGTATCCCCCGCATTCCTGAAGGCTTTGAATGTTGTTCTGCAATGTTATGTGGATATCAGGGGCAGTACCCCTGGACTGACAGACCGGGGTGGTGGTCCCCATTTTTAAGAAGGGGGACCGGAGGGTGTCTTCCAACCATTGCTACTGGCCATTCGATCCCTATACAATCGTTACAAGAGCTTGGTCTATATAGCTCGGAATAAGTTGAACTCGTTTTTGGTGGATGATGGCAGCTCTGCCAGGACTGCCCTTTGTCACCGATTCTGTTCAGAATTTTTACGGACAGAATTTCTAGGTGTAGCCAAGTGGCATAAAGCTTTGACTGAGGTGGTCTCAGAATGTCATCTCTGCTTTTTGCGGATGATGTGGTTCTGTTGGCTTCATTGGATGATGGCCTCCAGCTTGTACTGGAAGGGTTCACAGCCGAGTGTGAAGCGGAGGAGGATCAGCACCTCCAAATCTGAGGCCATGGTCCTCAGCCAGAAAAGTGTGGAGAGCCCACTCCGGGTCAGGCACGAGTTCCTGGAGTTTAAGTGTCTCGGGCCTTGTTCACGAGTGATGGGAGAAGAGATCAACAGACAGATTGGTGCTGCGGCTGCAGTGATGTGGACGCTGAATGAATGGATGGATGGAGAACGTGACCTTTGACTTCTGACTGAATGAAATTCATGCATTTAATGAATAGGGCTATACTTCAGTCAAAGACTCAACTGCTTTTATTCTGACAGTGTTAAAATAATAAAGCTTTATCTAAGTGATGTCAGATGAATCTACAGCAGGTGTTTGTTGCTGACCTTTGACCTCCAACTGTACATCTGTCACTGTCCTTTGTCCTCCTGTCCTCTTGTCTCTGATGGAGCAGGTGTAGGTGGCACTGTCAGACAGTTGGAGGCTAGTCAGGGTCAGGCTGAGGTCTCCAGTTTCCAGAGCGTCAGTCTTCATGGATGTTCGGCCACTGTAAAGCTGGTTTTGATCTTTCAGTTCGTCTCCTTGAAGCTGACGCTGGTGGACAGTGGGAGGACTGAGGTCGGAGCGACTCCACACCACGGAGGGGTCAGTCAGATCAAAAGTGTCAAACTCACAGGGCAGGATAAATGAGTCCCCCTCATACATCTCCACAGCATCTGAGGCGTGCTGGGAAACTGAGGACACACAGACAGAGACTCCACGAGTCACTTTGAAGTTAAAGATCAAACTGCTGCACTTCCACACATTAAAGAGAGAGAGATGAAAGAAAAGCTGATGATGAGAGCAGAGAGAGGAAGGTGTACTTACCGTGCAGGAGGATCACAAACACCACAAACATCTTCATGTTCCTGTCAAACTCAGAGACTCTTTAAAAGCCCTTCAGGACATCAGCTCACAGCAGCTTCACTTTCCTCTGCTGATCATCTACTGACACTCTCACACTCTCACACTGTCACAGCTCAGAGTTCAGCTTCACACTTTGTTAAAGCACATCTGTGGAATGAAGTCCGGCCGGCCACAGATCACTTCTGAGGAAAG